ACCTCAGGACCCAACCCCAGGAGGTTCCAATTAATTTGTTTACAATAAATTTTCAAGGTTAAAAGTGTTAAGAGGAAGCATTGACAAAAGCTAGATTCTGAGGTTTATTAATCAAGGTTGTGGTGAGAAAAACTATGGAGTTAAAAACACTGTAAGGGAAGAGGGAGAAGGGAGAGAGGCAGGAAAGGAGGGCTGCCTCCCACCCCGGGGCAGAGGTACAGCAAGGGGGTCACACCCAGCAGGTCCTCAGGAGGTCCATGTTCCCACCTCAGCTGCTGGATGAGGTCCTCGCCTTCCTTGATCACGTTGACCGTCACCTGCAGGGTGGTCTGCTGCTGCTGCCCGAAGCGCTTGATGAGGTCCTGCACGGCCTCCACTGACTCGGCGTACACGTCGTCCAGCAGCTCCTTCTGCAGCTCCTCCAGCCATGTCCACAGCTGGGCAGGGGAGAGGGCACTGTGAGCCGGGGCGCCAGGCGGCTGCTCCCAGAGAGAGAGGGAGGCACGGCAGGAAGGGAAGGCAGGCAGAGAGGGAGGAGGGAGAAGCATCCTAAACAGCCCGACAGCCCGGCTGCTGAGTGGAGAAAAATAAACAGGCAACCAGGCGGAGGGACGGTCACAAAAGAGGAGGAGGAAAGGGAAGGGAAGCCGGTCTTTCCCCTTCCTCCGAGGCACTATCCGGAGCGAGATGGAAATAGGACAGGACCCCCTCAGGCAACAGGAACATCTTCTGAATCTCAGTCAGTAGGGAGAGAGTTTCAGTTTATTTTTAGCAGAGACACTACAATCCATTATTAATCAGCAAACTGTGATTTACAACACTCAGAACAGAAGGAAGCGTGCAACATGGTGAAAAAAACTCAGTTCCAAGCCCAGGAAGACCCAGAGGTGGTACCCTGATGCAATCACACCCAAGCCAGCCCCCCCAGAGACAGCCAGCATAGCCCAGTCCTTCCAAGGAGAGTGTGTCCCCCCTCAGCACTGAAAACACTGACACTCCTTCACCGCCACGACCGTGAAACATCACCAGAGGCCTAGGAGAAAACAGACAGTGTGGCAGAGGAGAAGCAAGGTCTACTTCAGGCCTCGCAGGAGCCAGGGAAAGAGCCCTGCCCGCTTCCTGGAAGTCCATTAACTCCTTAAGATCTCTGGGGTACCATTCAGGGAACTGAAAAAGAGCAATTAATGAAACTGAATGGACCCTGGTGGCTGGCAGTGGTCTGTACGCGGAGAAAATGCTTCCAGCTTCCTAGGGGATGGAAATGTCATCTTGCAAGTGCCTATTAAGAGAGCTGCTCCCATCAAGGGATCTCCTCCTTGACATTTTGGCCAACAGTCCTCACCTTTAGGGTCCTTAAGTTGAAACTGCACTTCCTCTTCCAATCCAGCTATCTGCTAATGTGCCTGGGAATGCAGTGGAAGATGGCCCAAGTGCTTGGGCCCCTGCACCCATGTGGGAGACCCAGAAGATGCTCCTGGCTCCTGGCTTTGGATCCACCCAGTTCCGGCCATTTGGGGAGTGAACCAGTAGATGGAAGATCTCCCTGTTTCTCTCTTTCTCTGTCTATAATTCTGCCTCTCGAATAAATAAATAAATAAATAAATAAATCTTAAAAAAAAATAAAGTGTCTACTGTAGTAAGTTTGGATGTATGCCTCCAAAAGTCCACAGAAATTCAGAATTAAAGGATAATGTGCATTTTCCACAATCTTTTGAAGCCTATGTCTGAACTCCTGAAAAGTTCACAGTTATGGAGATGGTGGGCAGCTCCCTCACTCCAAAAGCTTGCCTAGGCTCTCTGTCATCCTCCCACCCTGGGGTCACTGATCTGCTTTTAGTCACTAGACATTAGCTTGCACATTTAAAAAGATGTATGGAAACTGAATCATACCAGATGTACGCTCTTTTTATCTGACTTTTTAAAGATTTATTTAGGGGCTAGCACTGTGGTGTAGATTAAGCCTGTGTGTGCCGGTTTGAGTCCTGGCTGCCCCACTCCTTTCTCTGTAACTTTGCCTCTCAAATAAATACATATTTTAAAAATTATTATGTACTTGAAAGTCAGAGTTCGAGGGGCCAGTGCTGTGGCCAGCAGGTTAAGCTGCCGCCTGCAGCACCGGCATCCCATATGGGTTTAAGTTCCAGATGCTCCACTTCTGATCCAGCTCCCTGCTAATGTGCCTGGGAAAACAGTGAAAGATGGCCCAAGTCCTTGGGACCCTGCGCCCACATGGGAGACCCGGAAGAGGCTCGTGGCTTCCAACTGGCCCAGCTCTAGCCATGGTGGCCATTTTGGGAGTGAACTAGAGGATGGAAGATCTTTTTCTGTCTTTCTCTCTCTCCCTCTGCCTCTCCCTTTCTGTAATTCCACCTTTCAAGTAAAATAAATATTTTTTAAAAATTTACTTCCCCATAAAAGCAACGAGAACCCTGGAAAAAGTTGTCACATACACAAAAAAAGAAAATGATACTGTGTTTTCAGCTAAAGATTCGCTTAGTAATGAAAGCACTCTGAAAAGCTTAGATTGGCTTTAGTCATTAGAAAAAGAGGGGAAGAGAAAGGTCTTTCATCCACTGGTTTACTCCTCCAATGACTGCAATAGCCAGGGCTGGGCTGGCCTGAAGCCAGTAGCCAGGAACTTCTTCCAGGTTTTCCAAATGGGTGCAGGGTCCCAAGCATTTGAGCCATCCTTTGCTGCTTTTCCAGGTCATTAGCAAGTAGCTAGATCAGAAGTGGAGAGGCCAGGACATAAACCAGCACCCATGTGAAATGCCTGTGTCACAAGAGGTAGCTTTACCCACTACATTGCAATACTGGCCCCTGTCTGACTTCTTTCAGACAAATTACTCCAAGATTCATCTAGGCTATTGTGTATATCAATAGCTTGTTCCTTTTATTGTTGAAAGCATACCCCTGTATGTATAAACCATAATTTGCCCATTAATCAGCTAATGGGCTTTTGACTAATTTCCAGTTTGGGACCCTTACAAATAAAGCTTCTATGTACATTTGTGCACAGTCTCTGATGAAGTTACATTTTCTTTTAGGGAAATACCTAGGTGAAGAGTTGCTAGATCTTATTCTGGGTATGTGTTTAACTTTTTAAGAAATTGCCAATCTTTTCCAAAGTGCGCTACCATTTTTTACATTCCTACCATGTATGAGAATTCTATTCTCTATTCTACATCCTCACCAATAATTGGACCGGTCAGTTTTTTTAACTTTAGCCATTTTAAACGAGTAATATCTGACTGTAATTTCAATTTGCAATTCTCTAATGACTAAAGCCAATCTAAGCTTTTCAGAGTGCTTTCATTACTAAGCGAATCTTTAGCTGAAAACACAGTATCATTATGTGGCTTTTATTTCTCCCAAATATGCACAAAGAACTTGCTTCTACTTTTTAATACAGAAAACCTTGAAACATCAATTTCACACTATAGTTTATTCACTGAGCAAATCTAAACACATAAAAACACACTTTTATTGTTATTTGCAGGTCAACAAACATTTTAAATATGGCAGGTCAATCTAAAAATATGAAAAGTGCTGGCAAAGGACTTATTTTTGCCCAGGTTCTATGAGTTCTATGGATTAATTTTACTGGTCAACCTCTCGCTGAGTAAAGGAGGCCCCAGGTCCTGGAGTAACACAGTGAGAGGCACAGACCAGGAACTGGTACATGTGGTGTCTATTTTACCTCACCGTGGAAGATGCTGTACAAGTCACCAAATACTGGCTGATGCTCTGCACGATTTGTAAAGGGCTGATAATCAGCAAGATCCATTCTTTCTTTCCTGGGTTGTTTTTTTTTTTTTTTTTTTTTTTTTAACTTTCCTCTAAATTCTCCTGAGCACGGCAGTGACATTCATAATAACAGGAAGGATGATAGCATCATGACGTTCTGAATACTTCCAACTTACTCAAACATCTCCCATGAGAAATATTCCATTGCTCTAGGTTACACTGGAGAGCAATACCAGCATTCTGACATATGCAGTGAGTCAAACTGAACAGTAGTACCAGCATTCGGACAGGTGCGTCAGTCACACGGCACAGCAGTACCAGTACTATGACATGGAGTAAGGCTCTGTGGACCTGAGAAGCACTGGGGAAAGTATTAGCTCTGTGACCCAGGAGATTACTTAACTTCTCTAATGCTCAGTTTCTAGAACACTGATCCTGAGAGCCTCAACACTTCCACAAGGAGCTCCTAATAGGAGTAGATGAAAGAGGAGCAGTAGGAGGGCTCTAGACACATGTTAATTACCCTAATTACAGGGATGGACTAAAATTGACAGAGTAGGCAAGACTCACTGATTGAAACCAAATACCCGTCAGTTAGGCTGCTCTGATAATAATGAATAATTTACCAAAAGAAGACTGTAATATTTTAACAGAATATATTAAGAGTAAAATATTTAACCAAAAACATCCCTGACATATCACCTCATCAGTCACTTTTCTACTTAACATGGTAACCTGCCTTCCACATGCCAGGGGGCAGGGTGAAAGCAGGTGATTCGACACACGCAAGAGCCACCCACTAGCTTCCCATTAAGAAAAACTCCTTCCACAGCATGTGGCCATTCAGCCCTGCCTCTGGCTGACTGATCTCCTAGAGGAACATATGTGAAAAAGTAGCCCTTTGCGGCCGGCGCCGCGGCTCACTAGGCTAATCCTCCGCCTAGCGGCCCCGGCACACCGGGTTCTAGTCCCGGTTGGGGCGCCGGATTCTGTCCCAGTTGCCCTTCTTCCAGGACAGCTCTCTGCTGTGGCCAGGGAGTGCAGTGGAGGATGGCCCAGGTGCTTGGGCCCTGCACCCCATGGGAGACCAGGAAAAGCACCTGGCTCCTGGTTCCTGCCATCGGATCAGCGCGGTGCGCCGGCCGCAGCGCGCCGGCCGCGGCGGCCACTGGAGGGTGAACCAACGGCAAAGGAAGACCTTTCTCTCTGTCTCTTTCTCTCTCACTGTCCACTCTGCCTGTAAAAAAAAAAAAAAAAAAAAAAAAAAAAAGTAGCCCTTTGCAACTGCCTTTATGTTGCTGGGAAACAATACAAAAACCGTTTCCTTCACTCCCTTCTCCCAAGATTCAACTGCATCCTTGCCTGATGAGGCTGTGCCCACCCCTACCCCACCCCCCACCTTTTTACTGGAACCCAGGAAAAGGAACGTGAGCCTTGAGCAGACTCAAGTTAGGACCCTTGCCTGCAGGGCAGGAAAGGGCAGGCTGCCTGTCTGGGTGGAGATGTCTGCAAAACTCTGCTTTTCCAGCACATTTGACAAAAATACCATTTAAGTTATGAAACCATGTTAACTCATCTTTACATACTACTGAAGAGAAGACCAAAGGTAACTCTTATAACTCATGTGATGGCCAATGTGTAGTTGTGGGTCTACCTCCATATGGACGCCGGTTCGAGTCCCGGCTGCTCC